TCCCCATCTCTCCTCTCCTCCTCAGGCTGCAGGATGGACGTCGTGAATCAGGTACCGGCTCTCAGCATCCTTCTGTTATTTAGGTCCAGTCTGCGGGCTCGGGGTTCGGGTTCGGTTCGGGGAGGCGGTCCGTGTCCTGATGGAGCCTCGTTTAGTCAGGAGGCTGATCAGGGGAGCGGAGCGCTGCGGGTCCCGGCCTTCGGTGAAGGCTTGGTTCTGGTTCTGGTTCTGGTTCTGGTTTAATCCGTCTGATTCTAGCAGGGAAAAAAATATTCCCGAACTGGACTTTTGATTTTTGTTTTTTTTTTCATCCTACGGGAATGACGTGAAATCACGATGAGCGCGCGCGTCTGCGTGTAAGATGGCAGCTGGTGAGGAAGAGGAGGAATCTTCCTCTCTGCTGATGGAGAGCATCTCCCGGTTCTGATGTTCTGACCCGGTAGCTTCACACATGGGTCCAGATTGCAGTTAGTTCAGAACCAAGGCCAGTTCCTGGATCCCTGACTGATCCAGATCTAGAGGAACCAGAACAGAACCACCGAACCAGGCAGGATGTTTGGACTCGCTGCAGAAGGTCCAACCAGGGGAATCTGGTCCAATCCTTCAGAACTGGAGAAAAGATTCCCAGTTTGGAACCATCAGAACCATCACAGGAAGCTGGACTCTCTCATTAGATCTCATCCCTGACTGGTTCTGTAGAAACTTGACCTGGAGGTTCTGTTCAGACATCCTGGAGAATAACGGACCTTTAGGGGGTGAAGGTGGAAGTTCTGGTTTGCGGTTCTGGAAAGATCCAGGTCACCAGAACAGGAGGGAATCACCATAGCAACCAGTCTCATGGCTCGGAACTCACCAGGACTGAGTCGGATCTTGGTTCTGGTTCAGAGATCCTGACCTCCAGCTGGTTCTGGTCAGCTGGGTCCGGTTTCTCTCCCAGAACCGGGTCCTCCTTTGTTTCCTGTGCGGTTCTTTTCTTTCTCCTTGTTACATTTAATTTAAATCTTTATTTCAGGTTCGGTTCTGAAGAACCGGGTCGCTCTTTTGTTCCGTATGAATGAAGCGCCACCTAGTGATGATGATGATGATGATCATGATGATGATGATGATGATGAGGCAGAAGAGTTGACATGGAGAGGAAGGACGACGAAGAGTTTGGATCCGAGTCCAGATTAGAGTCCAGATCCAAATCCAGAACTGAGTTCAGATCAGTGTCCAGATCAGAGTCCGGAACCGAGTCCAGGATTGGGTTCAGATCTGAACCCAGAACTGAGTTTAAATCTTAGTCCAGAGCCAAGTTCAGTTCAGATTTAAGATCCAGGTCCAGATTCTGGTTCTAAGTCCTTCCTCTCACTCTGAGACACCGGATTCTTTCACGCGTTCACCTGTAGAAGGTTTGGGATCAGCCGGGTGGAGAGTCCGGTCTGTTCCGGTCCGGTCTGCACTTTCCGGTTAGTCTGTTTCAGCTGCCTGAGAAAGAAGATCAGAAAAGTCTTAAAGTTGAACTGATTTTGAAAAAACTAGAACAGGAATCTGAAGGATGGGAGGGTCAGCAATGAGAACCAGGACTGTTAAAAGCAGAGCATCAGAACCAGAACCAGAGTCTGGCTGGGCTGGGTGTGTTCAGAGTCCAGCACAAAGAACCAGATGTGTCAGATCGGAGCAGGTCCAGCAGGTCCAGCTAAACCGGAGCAGCATGTGGTGTTACTGTGACTAAAGGCTGTGTGTCTGTTTGCTCCTCAGCTGATGGCCCAGGGCCAGTTCAGGATCCTGAAGGTTCCTCTGGGCTTCATCAAGGTTCTGGAATGGGTGAGTTCATCTCCATCATGTTCTGCTTTAGCGTTTATTAAAGCTCCGCCTTCAAGCTGCAGCCCCCGCTATAGCAACCACCCTCTGCAACCAGTTAGGTTACTTTGAAAAAGTCATTA